GGCCAACCCATGACCTGGCAGAGGAGTATGAAGGAGATCACGAAACGCTTGGGTGCTGTCGGTGCTACTCGTCTTCCAGGATGGGGACCGCGTGATCCTCACTGTGCCTGGTTGGAGACACTACAAGATATGGCTGTCAGCCGATGTCAGTGGTATTCATGTTGTCGGTTTCTATCCAGATCGCCTGAGGGAATGTCTGGAGGGCTATGCACCTCGGAACGATTGTGTTAAGCTAGCACTAAGTCCCTCCCCCATCCACCTTTATTCTTTTCTTCACAATAAGGCTTTCAAATAAGTCATGGTTGTACGGCAGTGAAGCATCGGTATTGAACACTGATGTCATGCTGTCGATGATGATGATGACAGTTGGAAACAAAACGACGGGTGTAAAAATTCTCCATGGAAACCATTGTTCATTAACTCACTGTCGTCGATTCGTCTTTAGCAGCGCTTGTCTCTGAACGTTTGACCATATCGAAAGGTTGTTACTTAATTCGTCTTATACACAGAAAATGTACACATGTTTCCGGCGTGTTGAAATACACTGTCCACCGAAACCCGCGTAGACCGTCAACCACTGGTATGCACATAGAAGAGAATACGCGTCCCCTTTGGGATTTTTACCGGTACACAGCGGCATACATTATTTATCTCCCTCATTGAAACTACTCTGTGAACTACTCCCCCTGAGGCATTCTAGAGTGGGTCTAATATCGCGTCAATCGATCATTCCAGTCGTAATTATCCGATGCTTTCTCGTCGTACTAGCCCCCTCCATTCTTCCCCTTTTGGTTCTTACGCTCACAAGACTCAAAACTGTTTTATGTAGAGCGAAATATCGCCTACTGCTTGTCGAGCAGACTGGTTCTATTTTTGGTTCTCCAAACAGTGGTGTGAACAGAGTTCGGCTGTGTGGGAAGCCTGACTAGTTCCGCTGTTGAACTGAGCCATCACTTATTCACTAACATCTGTGTGCTTTTCGACCTAATCACCATCCTAATACTTTCAAATACCGAGATCCCATCGTATTTGTTGATAGCCCTTTATGCCACTTTTATTTTATTGTCAACACTGCGTCGTTTGACGCCTTAATACAGGCACCAACCTGCTAGCTGCGTACTATTGCAGTTGATAGCCCGACCAGAATAACCGGGTTTTACACATGTGTTAAGTACCAACTGTTGTCACTCCCCCCTCCCGTCGGTGGACATCGTTCAGCTGTAGCAGCCTTTCGGTGCCTAGCTGCCATGCCATATGAAGGAGGCACGAGGGCTGGGATACTTCCAGGTCTAGACAGGGGGAATCGAGAGGCAGAGGTCGGGTTCGAACCACGGACCTTCCGGTCAGTAAATTTGCGCTCTAACCCTTTGATCCATCTCGCCCCCCCCCCGTCGGTGGACAACCGAGGATAAATTAGGAAGTAAAGTGGCATACCCCATCCATCTAACGACTTACTCTTAAATCCGACCTGTCTACGCACAACACTTGCAAGAGTGAAGTTATTCGTCACCACATAACCAGATAACCACACTCTCCAGATTTTTTTTTCGAGTTGGTACCGTGGAAGGGCTATTGCAAAGCCGGTTCCGCGGGTTATCCAACAATTTTGCATAAAAAATCAGATTTAGTTTGGCGGGTAATGTGAATCGATAGTTAAAGTGATCGGTGGTTCGATTAAAGTGTGATTCCAACAAGTGCAGGAAGAAGCCCGATCGGAAGGAATGACAAGGGCTGTCAGTGGAGCAGATGTCTGGGTGATCACCATACGGATATGTGATATATATCTGTTAATACCTGTGTAGTGGATCTTTCGAGTTGTAAAACGTCGTTCAGCTGTAGCATCCTTTCGATGCCTAACTGCCATGCCACCAGAAGGAAGCAAGAGGGGTGGGATACTGCCCGGTTGCCCAAGTCTAGATAGGGGAAGTCGAGAGGCAGAGGTCGGATTTGAACCACGGACCCTCTGGCCAGTAAATTTGCGCTCTAACCACTGAGTTGTCCGGAGCTGTACCAACGAAACAGCAGAAAACTCATTATCCAAACGCAAAAATGGAGTTCCGAGTACAGGCTTCCGGTTGAAGGGGGCTATCAAAGTGGATTTTTGGTATAATCCTTGCAGCAAAATTCATTAAAAAATAGGCTACTAGAGGGAGATGGGATGTCCTTCCTAAGGTCTTTCACAGGTTTCATGGGGGAGGGCCCGATTGCTACCAAGCCTCAGACTTGCATCTGAAGATTCTAATTAGGTGTTATATCTTGATTAAAACGAATGGGTTGTCGGAATATTTCTATCATAAAAGTCCACCGAATAGCCGGAAATCTGTCTTCCCTGTCAGTATTTGACAAAAGTCCATTCGCTTGCGCGCATCGGATTTTTTTACACCGAGAACAGTGTATTTCTTGAAATTATGGAAAGCATTGATAGTGGTGGACACTTAAACTGCAGTTCGTATATCTCTATACAGTGACGGACCGATTTGTCTTCCTTTTTGATGATGATGTATGGTTTCTGTGTCGTAGTGGAAACAGTCTTCCTTAAGGTACGCTACTCATAAGATTGCTGAAACTCCTCGACAGCCCACGACAGGTTTCACCCTTTTTGGAGCTTTTCAGATTGGCGCAGTTCCTCAGTTTCCATCAACCCGTTGTGAATCGTAATCCAGGAACAGATTGCTGACGATTGAGATAGTCTTTTGACCTCTTCGCTGACACATGTTTCTAAATACTATTTGCACACGTAAACTCTTTTGGACATTACCTGGTGCCTCGACTCAGTTGTAGTCGAAAAACCAGACGTCCACACTACGTCACGTACTAGTTATGGCACTTTTTCACGCACTGGGCGCGCGCGCACACACACACACGAGCTATTGGTCGTTTCATCTGATTTGAGGGCTTTCATAGGCCATCGTATCATGTTCATGGATCATTTTTCGCTGAATTGGTGGTTACTCTCTCAACCGATTGATGTACTTTTGTTCAAAGTAGTCTCCTTCGTGTTTACCTTTGATTGCTCCTTTTAACCGCGTTTCACGTTTGACCGAGTAAATTTTGGAGAGATTGTGATAGCCCCGTCCACGACACGTTTCACTATGGCATCAACATTTTCGACTTGATTAACGGTTATCACCTCTGACTTCCGGATCAGGTAGTTACTTGCTGCACCACAGGATCGAAGGTTTTAGTAAGAGAGGCATGCTATCGTTGGTGTTGTCGGTTTCGATGAATAACCCTAGTGGCCTTTTTCAGCACAGACATTAGAATTATCGAGTGACTGGAATGTGGGCACCAGTTTCCCTTTGGAGGTGGAAAGGCGAGTTGAAAGCTACATCCTTGCGCTTGGAAAAGCGAGGACTACTTGTACCATACACTTTTCATATCAGGTGACGAAGTACTGATATAGTTAAGCACGGACCACATTTCCACCTATCCGAGTGCTTGAACTACAGCTGAAGATCGCCTTTGATTCCACCAGTTATCCTGTGCTCTAGCAGCGTGTTCCAACCAGATTTGCTGCATCCATATTTCAGAACACGCCAACTGCCATAGGCATCTGCGGCAAGCTCTCATCTGAGTTTGCCACATCCAGTAATGACGCGCTGGATTGTTCTGTATCACGGCTTTTGCAATTCCATTATGCGGGATTCGAATCGGTTATCACCCACGAATATTAAATTCCCTGATGACAGTGCTGTTCTTGAATCATATCTTTCAGAAGTGTACACAATTTTAGATAATCCAGTTGGGTTTGACCTACACTCCATGAGTGTCGATTATAAGCTAGGGTATTCATAAGCATGGGGATTGCTGAACGAAACACAAATCATGTTGATTCACCCTGCAGTCAGCATTTCCATTCTGATGACGCTTTGCATCAGAAGACTCAACCCGACTCCTGTTCTTCCCCGGCTTAATTTCAGGTGAACGGAACAAACGCCAAATACCTGGGAATCGATTTGCTCGTCTCCGAGTTTCGTCGTGCGAACAACTGTATCGTGTGTTCTTTGACGAAACCCGCACCTGGAACTCGCCCTCCACCACATATCACAGTTTACGGGACAACAAATGACTTGCATCATGCTGTGCGAAAAGCAAATCTGAAGGTATGTTTCGGACATCGATTGTGTGCTTGTTTACTCGAGTGGGAAGTAAACGTTGGCACTCTCACGCCTGAATGGATCATCTTTGGTGGTAACTCAATAAGTACACACTGGTGCGCGATTGCTGCGCGAGCTTTCTAGCTTAGTTGGAGGATAGTGTCCTGAAAAAAATGAGAAGCAAAGTACCCGGTGCGAGATCGCCACATACGTGCACATGCCCGTTTGCATAACTATCAAGAACTCAATCGAACTACGGTAATCCTCCCTATGAGGCGGCTGATTGCCGGGGCGAGGACCTCCTAGGTAGGGGAGCCCTCGGAGGATAAACCTGTTAGAAATAATGCTACTCCCTCAGTCAAGACCATCAGTAGTCATGCACAACCTCCCCTAGAAGGTGCCGTGAGCATTCTCATTCCCCCTTATTTATCTGCCGGCCTGTTTGTGTCACCTGAAGATGGGCCCAATAGACAGACGATAGCTTGATATGCGTGAAGTATGCCTTATTACACCTGTTGACCTTTGTCTTGCATTCTTACTTACCCAACGATCAGAATCCGAGATACCCAGTTTGTCAGATTTCTTTTGAGAAAAAATTATACCATAAGCTCCTTGGCTTCCTGCTGTTCTGCGTGGCAGTCAGAAATGCCTTGAAGGACTCACGTAACACAATGGCTTTTTCATATTAAACACACGGTCTATTTCTCTGCACCAAATGAGTTTCTGCATGTTCCAGCTAGCACAACTTTTCATTTTGTGGATCTAGTGAGTGGTGGAACACGTCACGTGGAAACGGCTCTAAATATAAGCACACCACCCCCATTAGGCTACAGACTTAACCTAAAGTCTGCAAATGTACCAGAAAACATTACTGGTCAGATAAACCTTTGTGTCTATAGCAGCAAGTCGATCAGATGGATTACCGGCGTGTGGGGCGAAATCGACTGAATGATTGGTAGTGACCTCATTCGTCGATTTCCTTGGATTCACCCCGACGCACATTCGTGTGCTGACAACTGACTGGTGGATACGAATTCGCCAAATTCACAACTGAGACGACAAAACGACCACTGATCAGAAGGTCATCTCGGGGAACTGAAGCAACTATTCCAGAAAATGAAGATCTCAACGTAAATGTCATATATATATATATATATATATATATATATATATATCATACATAGAACAACTTTTTTGATGACTTAATCAGTAATCACCATACAGGGCATTCTGAGTTTGCTTCCTAAATATCGTTACCCTAATAGGGGATAAGCCTGTGAACTGTTTCGCTGATTACGTTCCCACTGATCAAGCCGCCGCCTATAGTTATCTATTCGCCCCATAGTCGTCTAGAAAACCTATTGCAACTGAGACCAGCGTACGCTTGGTACGCAGAGCGACAAGATGGTCTGCACTGGATGCATTTATCCATAGCCGTTTGCCATTTACGCCATGCTTTCCGCCTAACCTACGAAGATGAAGTTTGCCGCATCTGAGTTGCGCACAACTTAATCGTGGTTTCTCGGAAGCAGATGACCCATGGTAGAAAAAATCGTTCAGCTGTAGCACCCTTTCGGTGCCTAGCTGCCATTCCACCCGAAGGCTGCACGAGGGCTGGGATACTGTCAGGTTGCCCAAGCCTAGACAGGGGAAGTCGAGAGGCAGAGGTCGGGTTCGAACCACGGACCTTCCGGTCAGTAAATTCGCGCTCTAACCACTTTAGCCATCTCGCCCCCCTGGTAGCACCGGTTAGGTACCGAGTAATCCATTTTTTCATTGTGATAGATGATAGGTTGTGACTACACCTGTGCTTCAGTGAATACATAGAGCCGAAACAACCTGTAGTATGAAAAGCAGTTTCTACCACGTTAGGTGTCTAGTTATCCAGTTTCTTGATTTCCGAGCAACTCCCAGCATCTTAGTGGGATACAAACTGACAGCCATTGACATCCGTTCCTAGTCATATTCCCTAATTTCAACAGCCAAGCGTATGAAGGATCACATCAACTTCCTCTTAAAAGTGAAGGACACTAAGAGCATCCAGACCTCGCAACCACCTACCACAACTATTTGGTGAGTGACATCGCATACATTTAAATGATAGACTCAACGCCCCCAAGTAGTCTATATGCTTACTTTCTGTCTTTTGCTCACGCATTACAGACCTAAGCATCCGTAACTTTAGTATGGAACGGTTTTCACGGCCTCCGCGTCATGTACCCCCTCCACTTATGATCCTACTCATCCGGTTTCAACAAGTGAGGATACAACGAAAGAACAAAATCGTTCAGCTGTAGCACCCCTTCTGCGCCTAGCTGTCATGCCACCAGTAGGTTGCACGAGGGCTGAGATACTGCCAGGTTGCATAAGCCTAGACAGGGAAGTCGAGAGGCAGAGGT